AAACATGATAAGGGTTGTTGCCAAGAAGATACACTTGCATAAGCGAGAGGCAAGAGTCCCAAAATTTGTGGAGTCCTTGGAGCTGTAGGAGTCCTATCAAATGAGAAGTTGACTACGTATAGGACTCCTAAAAGAACTTGGAGTCAAGGGATTTTAAATATTATCTTTTGGACTGTTGTGATCATCCTTTTACACATCAACTGAAGAACTACATTTCCCATATTCAAGTCGAGTACCAGTATTACGCTCTTCTTGAGTCAGTCTAGTAAATGTGTTTTAGAAAATCGAGTTGTAATTAAAGTGTCATATACAATCAGGGAGTTGGAGTGAGTGTTTGATGTTGCAAGTTAGAGTAACTTGTAAATCAAATAGTTGAAGTAGGAGAACTGGAGAGTATTGAGTTACAAATTTGTAATCGATATATTCGGCTCATTATTCTAGTGAAGTTGAACCTAAAATCCTAAGTGGTAGGTCGTGGTTTTTGCACCTTTTGAGCCGGATAATTTTCCACGTAAAAATCTCTTCTGTGTTTAACTCTGCACTTTATTATTTCAGTTGTTTAACGAATGAGCATATATAAGAACCAAGTTCTTATACAGGTGTCTAAGTGGTGCTTCAAACTAACATGCTTGACTATAGTCTGTAGAGTTGATTTATCACAAGAGTATTACAAGTTCGAAAATACATTAAACTATTTAGTAGTCCAGTATGTATCCGATTAGGTTGTAAATTTTATAAAATTGAAGAAAATCACTAGGGTGTATTTGGTAGAGGAAAGTGTTTTTCACGAGAAAGGATTTATTTGAAAAGTATTTTGTCTGTATTTGGTTAATTAGTACAAAAATATGTAAAATATGACAATAAATAAGGTATGAGGAACAATGTTATGGTGATACTTTTAGGACTAAAAATTAACAATAATATTTAAATATTAATTGAAGTGAGTTGAGTGATGTGGAATATATAGAGATGATTCAAGATTTAAAGTTTAGGTGTTCAATCTTTTTTTTTCTTTTTTTGGTAATTGTGAGCACCTAATTTTTGAATATATTTGAAATTTTCACCACTTCTTAGTATTTGAATAGTTTTAAGTTTAGTCTTAATATTTTAGCTTTTGTTTTACCTTTTTATAAGTTTTATTTTAAGAAAATTGAAAACCAACAAAAGATTCATTTTTTTAGAATATCAGATTTTGTTCTAATTTACAAAAGAAAAGAAAAATTCACAAAAAAATGTGTCCTCTTTTAATAGATACTTTAGCTAATATTTCATCTTTGTATTTTTCTTTATTTGTCTTAAAAAGAAAAGAATTTGAAAATGAAATAAAAAAAGAGCCAATCAGAAATGACCAAGTTGCAAAGTTTCTTTTTAATCAATTTTGTCTTTTTCCAAATATACACAAAATGAGCACCTGCACCATATTTTGTTTTTCTTGAACGTTCAGCACGCACTTAGCATTTAGGCTTATTCCACTCACCTAACAAAAGATTCCTTGGCCTTTGCTAGCTCCCCAATTTATTTCACAACCATAAAAACACACACAATTAGATAGAGTGACGGGAAGAGATAGAAAAAACGGGAGAATAGACATGAAAATAGAGAGGGGATAGAGATAGAGAGAAAGAGAGAGAGAGCGCACGAGAGAACAGAGAAAAAATAGATATGAAAAAAAGATAGAAAAACGAGCAACCATTTCATCTTCTCTCTTCCTCCAGAAAATCCAGTGACAAACCTCCATTCTCACCATCTAAAAGTTTCAAAACATTCAGCTGAAATACCACCCAAAAAAGCACAGAAACTTATCTTCTTCCCTTCTCATTCTCACCGTGAAAACATAGCATATCCATCACCAAAAATCAGCCATGAACTAGCCCCAAAACACCCATGAAACTCAGCTTCAAAATAGTCCAAAAACCCAGCTCAAATCCCATCCCAACAGTGCAGCAAAAACAGCTGCGAAAGAGCCCTTAAACCACCAAACCCCAGCTGAAAAACCAGCTATAAAATACCCCAAAATATCACCAAAATTACCCCCGAGACACAGCAAAAATATCAGCCCAAAGTCCCTGCGACAATAGCTCTTTTGCAAAAAAATCAACAGCAAAACCATGTCCAACAAACACCTTAAGCCATTGCAAAACAGCTGCCAAAAATAACGAAAGAAACAGCTAAAAAGAAGCCATAAAAGCAGCCTCAAATTACCATGAAAATGCAGCCGTAAATTTTCCAAAACACCATAAAAAGGCTGCCATGCTGAATCCATGAAACCCAGCTCCCAAAAACGCCTCAAAACTCTTTGTTTCCACCACCGTCGCAACCTGATGGGAGTTCGAAATTGAGAGGCCCGTTCGAGTCGAGGATGTCGGTCTAGTCGCTGGATTGTTGTTTCTGTTTCTTCACTGTAATCCCACATTGGAGATTCTTTATTAACGTGAAAGGGAATTTTCTCGTTGAGGTCCGTTTTCTCGGTTTTCATTTTTCTTTCATCTCGTTACAGTAGCTTTGAGTGTGTTGGATTGACTTGTGATTTTCTGTATTTTTATTTTTCTTTTCAATTATCGTGTCTTAGCTTTCTTTAGTTACTTTAATTAGTTTATTCGTTTTTGTGATGTATGTGACCTCTATTCTTGAATGAATGCATTTAAATTGGGGAAAAGTACAGACATAGCCAATTTAAATACAAACTTATTCTGTAGCCCAAAATTAGATACTTACCAAAAGTAGCCCAAAATTAGAGATACAGGTAAGGAAGGATTCTTCTATCCGAGAATCACGCTAAAAATCCTCCTTCCTTCCCTGTGTATATCAATTTAACAGATCACAACATTCTCTACCTCTGTAAATCACGGCATTCTCTCTCAAAAAATTCTCAAAATGAGCTCCAAATTTCACTCAAAATCGATCAATTTCACTATATACCTTCGCAATTTCTGTGTAGATACAGCTTTTGCAATTTCTGTGTAGAAGGAACTACGAACTGCAATCACAATCAATCAAGGAATTAGTGAGTTTTGACCTAATTTCAGCTACTTCTATGGCAAATTTACCAATTTTTATTCAGTATGGTGGCCGATGGAATGTTGACAACAGCTTTGTAGATTATAATGCAGACGCTGTAATAGTTACTCCAAATATAAGTTTTGAAGATTCTGTAGACGTGATTTCGAAACAACTTAAGATAGATAATTCATTGAATGATATTGAAATCAAATACACTGTCCAAAACAGTTCTCCGCCAATAGTGATACACAATAGTATGGGTCTATGTGTATATCTTGAGCTGAAAAAAAGCTCAGAATTTACAATGTATCCTTTTTGTATAACATCGAGTGAAAAGGATATGGACATGATCTGCTACAATTCCAATTTTGCTGTGATTTCCTCAGAATGTGCACAAAGCTCAGTTGTAGAGGAGAGATACAATGGCGATACAATTAAGATGATCGAGTTTGGGGATGGAGAAGACTGGAATGATACAGAATCTGATGAAAATACAATAATAACTGACCCTCAACACACAGATGTAGAAGAAGGTCAAATTTATAAAGACAAGGCAACGATAATCAAAGTCATGAAGCACTTGGCATTAACGGAAAAATTTCAGTTTAAGGTGCATAGATCAAGTGAAAGCAGGTATCAAAATTTTTATTGTATAATTATGTATCTCAATGTATATCGTAGTTGATGTTAGAAGCATAATTATGCAGAAAATAAGTTGTTGCTTGTAAGTATGTGGCTGTACACTTTTAAATTGTGGTTGTCACCGTCTAGTACTGTATAGTCGTTGTATTTTTTCATCTAGTATTGTTGATTGCAGTGTGTATCACTATGTATCATTGTATTTCATGTCGCTCTGTTTATTGATGGAAAAGTTTATATCCTTGTCGTAGGTACTGCCTAGTATGCATCAACAACTATGATTGGTATTTTAAGTCTTCGAGCCTGAAAAAAGCAAATGTTTCCAAGGCAGAAATTTCAGCAAAGTGCACTCATGCCCCCTGAAAGACAGATCTTACGCACAACGTCAAGCTACTGCAAAACTCATCGGCAGTCTTCTGATAGACAAGTATAAAGACCCAAAAACAATATACACTCCTAATGACATAATTGGAGACATGAACAAGCAGTATGGTCTTCAGATGACATATATGCAAGCATGGAGATCGAAAGAATATGCAGTTCAAGTACTGAGAGGGAACCCAAGCGAATCATATGAAAAGCTGTCAAGCTACTTTTATATGCTGGTTCTTACAAATCCTATGTCGGTGGTAAATTTGAAAAAAACAGAGGAAGACTTGTTCATGTGTGCTTTCGTTGCACTATATCCTTCTATAAAAGGATGGCAGTATTGCAAACTGGTTGTTGTTGTAGATGGAACTTTTCTTAAATCGACATATAGAGGAACATTATTGATAGCATCAACACAAGATCCAGCAGGTAATATCCTACCACTCGCATATGCTATAGTAGATTCAGAGAATAATGCTTCCTGGGAGTGGTTTTTTGCGAGATTCAAGGATGCATTTGGGGAAAGGGAGGGAATGTGCATAGTCTCGGACAGGCATGAAGGCATTGAAAATGCAGCGGCAACATTGTATCCACAAGTACCTCATTGTGTCTGCATATGGCATCTATGGAATAATGTAAAAAAAAATTACAAAAAAAACCATTTGCTGCTCAAAGACATATTCTTTGCTATGGCCAAAGCATACACAGTTGAGAAGTTTGATTACCACATGGCAGAGGTAGAGAAAATTGATAAGAGGGTCAAAGATTACTTAATGAATGTTGGGTATGAAAGATGGTCGAGAGCACATTCCACTGTCAACAGAACATTGACAATGACTTCAAACATTGCGGAGTCGATCAATGCAGCGCTCAAGGCTGCTAGGGAACTCCCAGTACTGCCTTTGCTAGACTACATAAGGCAATTGATCGGACGATGGAATGTTACAAACCTAAAGAATGCAGTAGAGTCATTCACTGATCTTGGGAAAAAATATGATACAATGCTGATGGACAATCTTGAATTGTCACATCAGATGAAGGTATGACTGGAATCTGTAGATACTTGTGCATAGAATATGTAATCATGCCGAATTTACGGATCTGTTATATCTTGAACCCTTTGTGTGATTCTGTTAAACTAGTGTCCACCTGCACAAAAGCAAAGGCTTTCAATTTAATGTAGCATTTATGCCTACCCCACTCCTGAAATATTGCTTGGTTTGACATGATATTAAGCTATTTTAATCTTGTAGGCTCTCTAGTATATGTATTTTGAGGGCATCTGCTTTGTCACCACTAATGATAGTTGATAAATTTTGTAGGTGACCCCTTCGACGAGTTACTTATATTCAGTACTTGACAAGGGTAAGCAGAGAATGGTGTTCCTAAAAGATCGAACTTGCAGCTGTAGAAGGTTTCAGTTGGATGAGCTGCCATGTGCACATGCTTGGGCAGTATTAAAATACAAACACATTGATCACATTGAGTATTGCTCGGTGTACTACACCACGAAGTACCTATTGAAGACCTATGAAATTCCAATTTATCCGGTTCCTGATGGAAGCACATGGGAAATTCCTGCAGAAGTTCTAAATGAAAAAGTCTTGCCACCAGATGTGACTAAAACAATAGGAAGGCCAAGAAAGGGGAGGTGCAAGCCAATATCTGAAAGGGAACGAAAAAGGTCGATTAAATGTGGACAGTGTGGAGAAGAAGGTCACAACAGAAAAACTTGTAGAAATAATCCAAAGAGAGGATGAAATATGTCAAATTTAGAATTACTTGTTATTTTACTTTACTGAATATCATAGAGATTTAGAAGAATGCAATATATCAAGAACTATATCATTGTAGAATGTCATTTGAATTTTAGATATAAATAAATATTTGACCTATCATTTAAAATCGTGTTGCAAGTTTATATTATACATCTGTTTGATTTAAAAAGAAGTTGTATCAGCTATGTATCACATTTGTATCATATATGTATCGCTTGTGCAACACATTTGTATCATCTATGCATCACTTGTGTATCAACTATGTATCTCTATTTATAGGCTCTTACTCATGCCTGCATTTGTGTAGTAACAAAGCTAACTAATGGAAAACAGTCGTAGCAGCTAGAAAACTATGCAAAATAGTTTTAGAAATTTGCAAATATAAGTGGCTTCATCAATACATATTTGAAAACTGTGTATCATTTGTGTATCATATCTGTATCATATGTGTATCATATCTGTATCATGTATGTATCATGCGTGTATCTGCAAGAGACACTGTATCACAAACTACCGTATATTTATCATATCTATAATTCACAACACAAAATCAAGGGAGAAAACACCAAAATAAACTAAACTGCAACAATCCAATATCGCACTGAAACTCATTAAACCTTTATAACAGAACAAACATCTCATTTGCCATACGATTCTTAAAAGTATTCATAAAATTCAAACACAAACAAATCCGATCCGTCTTCCAATAATGACAACATAACAGAACAGAATACAAAAAACAAAATTATAGAGTTCATCCTACAACAATGACAAAAGTAACTACTTCTTCTGCTTCCCCGCCTTATTCTGTCGACCAATAATCTCATCATCACTTTGCGCGTTCAGTTCCATCTTCTTTCTAGCATAATCCCACAAGAGAGCACCAAATCTGCGCCGGTGTGCATAGGCATTGAATTTTTTAGGAGGCGTCTTGCCCTCAATGAAATACTCGGCAAATGATGTCGCAAATACACCGCAATCACTGCAAAAATACAAAGAACGGCAACTATCAAACTGCAGAATCTAAAAGCAAAACAGATTGTGTTGAAAGAAATTCATACGCTTCGACTTGTTGAGGCAATCCTTCAACCAATTTTACATCAAAGGGGGTAATCAAGTCTTTTGATTTGTAGACACCAGTGCGCCAATTGATATCTTTTTTGTTTAAATAGAAATGCGTGTGCACGAAAAAATGAGGCAGCAACACAGAATACTTGGACATGGCCTTATGAACTTTGGCTTGATGAGCAGCTCCACCGCGCATAGAGTCATACACATAAATGCACCTATCCTTGAAGGACATCACAGCCATTATCCAATGCCATTGTTCTGCAATATTAATTGGCATTAAGACATGCTCGACAGTGTACCATGGAACATTGGCATCCAAGACAAACCCCTGAATATACTCTGCAATGACATATTTCGGATTGCACACATCACTGTCTCCATCTGTATCAATAAACGCCTACCACAACTCATTAATTTTCTCGTCGAAGTACCAATCTGTGGTGGTGAATGTTACAGGTAGGTCTTTGTCATACTTCCCCTTCTTCCTCAGATAATAGAACAAAACATCAATGTGCTGAAACAAAACATAACAAATAACTAATCACTAAACGCACTCGAAAGCTTTAAGCAGCTACAGTTTTTCAAACCAAAATCACAGAAAACAAAGGAAAATGAATGCTCACTGCTAACTTAACAGGACTGAGTGTTCATGTGTACACTGGCCTAAAATTTAAAAAAAAATACTGCAAAAGTAAATTCCTACATACCGAGTCATCCAAGGGTTGACCATTATATGCCAAAGTGTAAAGCCAGTTTTTGTCTTCAACATGAAATATACCAAGATCATAAGCAGGATTGAGTTCACTAACATGCTTCGGGTAAATTTCATTCCTGGTAACATATATACACAAAAGAGTACAGTGATTTGATATAAAATAATTCTATAAGTGACAATATATTAAAATATAAAACTGAAAAAAAATCAGAAGTTGGAAACATACTTCTTTCTGGACTTCCCTTCTTTGACCCACGCAGCAAAAGCATTCAACAAAGAGCTGTTAACACCAGTTCCGATTTTGCTTTGAAAAGGATGCTTAATAGCATAAATTTGCCTTTTTTTGCTTTCGCTGCAACAACACTAGTACTGGAACCTGAATCAAACACAGTAATGAACGGAGACTGCACGGCCTTTGCAGGACATCTCTTTCTTTTTTCCATTTGCGGCGATACTTCAGGAAGTAATTCAGTATTGTACAGAATTCAGGAACACTTGCAGTCTCACAAACAGCACCAGTCCAAGATTCAGGAACCTTTTGTTTCTCAGATTCTTCCTCCGTCTCCCCTGGCGCCGCATCAACACTTGCAGTCGCACAAACATCACCAGTCTAGGATTCGGCAACCTTTTGTTTCTCAGATTCTTCCTCCGTCTCCCCTACCACCGCATCTGCAATCTCACCAATACCGCCAGCATGTGCTACATCTGGTGTGAAAGTTACTTTAGTAACAAACATGTCAACTTTCACACCAGAAGGTCCTTCCATAGCATTGACACCTAACTGATCTGCTACATTAGTATCTCTTTGAGAATGTGGAACATCTTTGCATTCACTTCCACCAACCTATTTTTTTAAAAAGGAATCGAATTATCAAAAACAACAAAGAAAAGAAAAGGGAAAAGTACAGAATGCACAACTAAACACACCTGACAACCATCCATTTCAACATCTTCATTGCCACCAAACTCCATATTGCTCACAAAATCATTATTGTCTTGACGACCACTGGTGTCTTCCTCTGGATGTGCACCATAATTGACTTCGCTTGCACCTAGCTATTTTTTAAAAAAGGATATAGTAAGTTAACTAAAACATAAAAAGAAATGCACAACGGAAAAGAAACACATACCTTGGAATTTATCAACTCAAACACCTCCTTGAATTTATCAGAAACATATTCCATGAAGGAATTTAACTGCTTATGGAGCTACAAGATGAAACAAATAAAAAAGATAATAGACTTTGAATATACAATTTGAAAAATAATTTCAAAAAAATATATAAAAAAGACCAATACATACTTGCTTCACATCAGCTTTCAACTTCTGCAACTCACGGTCATAATCAACAGGTTGGACGCCTGGCACGTTTTTTGGCGCCTTTTTTGGTGGGACAGGCTCCTTAATGTGTTTCGGGGGTGGCGAGACAAAATCATCGCTATCATCAATAGGAAGTTTTCCCCTGTTACGTGATGTAAAATATTACTGATACTCATCGGTAATTTCAACAAGCAAAGTAAATCTTCTGAGCTCTTCAATTGTCGGAGAAATATTTTTAAACTACAAAGGTAACCAAAAGTGCTTCAGTCCTAGATGTATCAAAGATGTATAAAAACTGTATGTTTGATGTATGATAATGAATTATAGTGTATTATAAATGTATATCCCATCAAGACATAAAAGATTGTACCTTATTCCCTGTGCTGTTGAAGAAACCAGTAGAGAAGTCTTCACGCATTGGTCTGTCTGTCATTTCCCAATTCAATATGCGTGGTGTATGATCTCCAACGCGAACAGCAAATTTTTGATCAACTACAGTGCAACATTCATAGAACCACACCTGTAGTACAAGAGGAAATCCACCAATCCTATAAAACTCAGACTTCCCCCTCAACCTGCCCCTCACCGACTTCATTAAAGCTCGAAACGCAATCTTACCCCATGGAAACGACACATACTCACCACTCTCGACAAGATGGAAATCACGTTTACTTATAAATGTCTTCTGAGCCTGAGTGGACATTAGAAATGTGTTTATGAAATAAATGATTGCAATCTTAACTGCGTCTTCATCAGACTGCCATTTCTTCTTCTCAAAACAATCAATAAGTGAGTTCTTTGAAACAACTTCAACACCAGAAAAATAAGTATCCACCAACCTATTGGGTCCACTGAATTTACCCTCAACAGGTTCATTACCACAACAGTTTAAACCACTTACAATACCAAATTCTCGAAGACCAAAACGTTTTAAAACACATTCGTCATTCAATTTCACATTAAAATTGGTCACACTTATCTTGAACCAACTCCCTAAACATTAAAGAACGAATAAGTTGTGCCTGGATAGCAAACTCGAGGTAAATCAAGGAAATAGCCAAAACAGCTTTCCCTAACATCCGAAGCTGGACATCAGTCAACTTTGACTGTAAAACCGATACAATATTCCACATTAGTGTAATGATGACCAATGAGTAACAGGAAACGGCTCACCAACTGGAATATAGAGCTTCAAGGCTACAAATACATGACACGAATTAAAAAGAAACAAATACAAACTAAATTCAAATTTTAAAAGAAGAGTCAACAATAGAAAAAAGTATAACTGAATTGTATATACCTTACAAACTTTGTCAGGAATTTTAACTTTTTCTGCCTTCTGAACCTTGTTTTTTTTTGGTTTGACACCCAAATTAACTTCGTCCTCCACGACACGTTTTCTCTTGCTCTTCTTTTTCTCAGTTTTTCCAACAATATCCTTTCGAGATTCTAACACTTTAACACTGTCGGAACGATTTTGACTTCGCATATTTTGTTCATCAATCGATTTCTCAACTAAAACCGGGGTTGAATGAGGAGATACACATCGACCTAGTTTCTCTTCTGATGTTGCTCGATTTCTCTATTGAAACAGACTTTGAATAAGGTGATGAACTCATCGAACGAGTTTGTCTTCTCATATTGCTCTGTTTCAAAATTGAAACTAGTTTCAATGACAAATTTTTTTAAAAAAATATACGCAACAAAAGGTTACAGAAATTTAGTGAAGAAATTAATACAAAAACTCGACAAAAACTTACAAAATCAGTCACAAAAGCCTAAATAAAAGCAACATCGATTCTACAAAAACACATGCAATCAGAAAAATATACAAAATAAGAGGTTTTCTACTCCAAAATACCTGGAATCAGACGAAAATAACCGAAAATGTATCTTGTTTTGTCGTCAATTTCATCAATTTTGGTTGAATTTAGGAAAAAAATCGCAGAAAGAGCGAGAGAGAGTGAGAGATATAGAGAAAGAGAGAGAACTCGGTTTTGTATAATAACGGATACAAA